CTAAATTACATAAATGCAAGAATAACCTTACCCTCCCGGGGCACAGCTCAATTGGCCGAATAATGAGCACATAATTCGCTTCCAGCGACATGGTGGGGGTTCGAATCCTGGTGGGAACATGCAACCAGATTTATTTGGTATGGAGCAATCACTTTGGAGGATGATCCCTTGTGCGCAGAAGTGCACAGTTGGTGAGGGAAACCTGGGAACCGGTTGAGGCATATCCCGCGATTTACCTTCTCCAAGGTTCTAGGGGCAAGGGTCTTGGAGATCCAGGATTTAGTCTAGCAAAGCTGGGACACCCGAGTATCAAAAAAAAAAGAATAACCTTACCCTATAAGAACAAAACGTATGTGAATGAAATAATGCACAGTTTACTTTGTGAGACAATACATTAATTGCAGGCAAATAGACAACTTAGAGGTTTATTAAATGACGATAGACATTCGGACGAGCAACATACAGATCTTTCTATTATGATCTTTCTATGCTAAGAAAGTTTTTGCACGGTGTACTCATTGATTAGATGTTGGGCTCTATGTCCCCTTCCAAGTTTGAATTTTTTACTTCATTTTATTATGAACAATATTCCACCTTTATAGTATTCAAGAAAAGAGAAAATTAAGTATGGCTCCCTATTATTTCAATTAGTGAATTTTTGGTCCCTCAATCTTCAAAAATGAGAATCTGAATTTTCAATCTATTCAAATGAGTGAAAGTGAATCCAGGTCTCCACATCGTGGAAAGAGTCAATTATGTATGTTAAAATTGTTCACGACTTTCACGTGACTTAAAACTGTAACACAAAACTGTCTAAATGCCTAACGTAAAAGTTGCTTGTGATTTTAACATCCTCGTTAACAAATTCCGTGGAGCAAAGATCAAGTTCCACATATTTAGGACCTGTTTGATTCTCATTATTGTAGAATGAGAATGAAAAATATAGAGTCCCACACAAGAGATAGAAATTCAAAATTGATGGTTTGATGTAATGGAAAACGATAATATTTTTCATTTTTATGGATGAAAAATGCTAAACAAACAGGGGAAGTAGAATGAGGGATTCAGAATATCACTTTTTTAAGGTTTGGAACTTAAAGTTGATGGAACCAAAGGAGGATAGATAATTTTTTTTTACATATAAGTAAATTTATTTTATAAGTGGTTTTTTAGTTATAAGTAAATGTTTTAGTTATTAAGTGATATTTCTACTTTTATAAGGATTTTATAACTTATAAGCTAATTTTTACTCTATACACAAATTTTTGTACTGGAACTTTTTACTCAAGTGAATTTTGTCACTTATATACATTTTTTTACTTAATAATTAATTGTTTTACTCATACATAAGTATTTCATTTGAAAATGAAATTTTCACCTATTAGCGAATTTTTCTTACTTATAATTGAATNTCACCTATTAGTGAATTTTTCTTACTTATAATTGAATTTTATTTCTTATAAGTTATTTTTTGAAATACCTAGATCTTATTTACTTGTAAGTAAATTTATGTGATTTAATTTAACCAATCTTTTCTTAATTCATTAATTGATGAATAAGCCACTGCCCATTATTTGGGTAAAACATTGTTTTGAATAATGATTTTTAGGAGAATGTGTGGTTAAAAAGTAGGAAAAATATTTTAATGTGTGAACGTGTGATTGAAAATGAATACATTGAGAAAATAATTTTCAAATAATAATTGCCAAACATGGACTAAATAATATAGCCTTAACCTACCGCACATGGGTCATTTAATAACTTTGAAAAAAACAGCAAAAGACTGTATAAAAGTCTCTGTCATGGTTTAAATAGGAGATTGTGTAATTCTCCTTCTTGATTTTCGCAACGAGTTCATTGAATACTCGAAGAAGAAGAAGAAGTAGGCAAAAAAACCCATGACCATAACTACAGAAGGTGATTTGACGAGAATTTGTACCCCTCTCTCCCTTCACTCTAATAAAAAGAAAAATACAATTCAAACAAAAATCTTCGAGGTCCCTTCTTTGAGCCTCATTTTCTTGAAAAAAATGCATTATCGAATAGTATTTTGACCCCATTTCAATCACATATTCTTTAATAAAATAATATTACATGCAAACTCAAAACTTTTCATTTTTTTAACTACATATTCCCTATCAATACATTATTCAAAAATGCATTTTTTTAAAACAAAAATGGGGTTCAGACGAGCCTTTATTTCCACTTGCAAAAGATCACTAGCTAACTATGAAAACACAACCATCTTTGGTTAGACCATAGATGGTTACGTTAGATATTCGGACAAGTGTAAGTGTTGAATTGCCTCATCTAAAACACACGTGCATCATCATCATCTTTTTAACCTCTACCCTCGATGTAACTTAAAACTCAGGTCTATTGCTTGGTAACATTTCGTTCTTACTTCTCGCGCTAGACCTTTGTCACACATGCAATATCATCTAAACTATCAATCTTGTTTATAATTATACATGTAAAAAAAAAAAAAAAATTGAAATATAGCCCCTTTTCAAAAAAGGTAAAATAAGTTTTGAAATAGTGATTTTTGGCAAATGTGTGATTAAAAAGTAGGAAATTTTTTTATATTTACGTGTAAAATATTTTATTATGAAAATGTGTAGTTGAAAGTAAATTTGAGAAAAAAATGTTTATTTCAATGATTGTCAAACATGGGCATAGTAAAAATGTTTATTTCAACGATTGTCAAACATGGGAATAGTAAAATCCCTTTAAATTAATCTCCTCTAAATTAATAAAAAATTAATAGTGTAAAATTTGAGTCCCGATTCATAGAAATACAGTACTTCAAGATGCTAGTTTGCAAAAGGTCACCATGTTTGAGATTTTTTTACTCCATCCTTCATCTTTTAAATTCTCCTCAAGAAATTATTGTGACCACATTCTTGTTGTAACCAAAAGGTTTCCAATTAAATTTAGCATTTCAAGAACCTTACTTGTAGAGATTTTAGGTGCCTCGTGACTATATATAGTCGTCATCATAGAGCTATTTGACGAGTTTAAAGGACATGAAAAATTAAACAGATGCGTTTTTAAAGATAAAATAGTAATTTATAAGGCGAAAACCTTCAAATTAATAATACCTCTAGATTAATAGTCTAGGGTGGATTCCAAAATATTTAAAGGTTCTACTATAATAGTTTAAGCCTCCTTTTGGCCAAATTTTAAATCAATTTATAAATAAAAATAGTAGTGGATCCCATAAAATGAATGAATAATGATAAGTAGTAGTTACCGATACGCGTCGAAATTAATATTTATGCAAAGGGACACTTCATTCATGCATTTTCTTTGTTTAACAGTAGCAACAGTGTATGTTAGGGCTCGCTTTTATTAAGGTTTTTTTAACCAAAACTGTAAGAAAAGAATTTCATAGTAAAAAAGTCCGGAAATAAAAATCTCTGTGTTGTCCTCATCTTCCTCCCTGCACCAGCATTTAAGCATGTCTGGCTCTGCCAGTTTATTAGCAGACTCGAAAAATCTTAAATATATTATTCAGATATTGCGTCCCTTGTGTTTTTATATAAAGGGGAGGATTGGCCTTAATTTTTGTTATTCCAAGTGATCATTTCCTTCTATATATGAAGAGTTTTATTTTCTGAGGGGCTTTTGAGAGAGAATATGGAGATAGAGATGAGTCATCCTGGTTCGAGTAGTAATGGAGGTGGAGACGTGGAGAAGGGCGGTGGCGGAGTGGTGGCTGGTGCAGCATATTTGGCATGGGAGGATTTAACGGTGGTGCTGCCAAATTTTGGGAATGGACCAACAAAAAGGTTGCTTAATGAGATAACTGGTTATGCTCTTCCTGGAAGAATCATGGCTGTTATGGGTCCTTCTGGCTCTGGCAAGTCCACACTTCTTGATTCCTTAGCAGGTATTCCCCTCTCCCACCCCACCCTCACAACCTCTGTCTCTACATGCATATGTATGTCTCAGTGTGTGTTTTGGGGTGGGGGTGTGGGGAGAGGTGGGTTGTTGTTGTGGTCACTTGGTCTCTTCTATCTTATTCATTATATCCATAAAAACTTCAAATGAAAATTAATCAACATGCAGCATTTCTTACATATATTGCACCATTTGCTTGTTTAGTTGTCTGGAAACGTGTATTTTTACGGTACTAGATAGTATATAGGGATTTTTAATTTTTTTAATTACGTAGTTGAGTCTTGTTCAATATTGCATATCAATAATGTTTAGTGGGTATATCTACGTCTAGATAAAAGAAACAATGATGGGAATGAGAACAAATCTGCCATACATTTATGTACATTACAAGAGAGAGAGATGATAGAACTGGATACTTGGTCTTGCATTATGTTTTAAATTAATGAGAGAAGTAGGGTTTTGGAGGGTCAATGAATAGGGAAATGACACATGTCGTGGTTTGATCCAAATTTTAGTGGATATTGGAGTCTAAATTGGAGTGATCTTCAATTATGGACCGAAGGAAAAGTCATCGCATTTTCTCTAGCCTGGCGTTAGTTGGAATCTCAAGCAAGCCTAGTAGAAAACAATCAGCGACTTGGTCGCTCACCGGCACTGCCATGTTGCCCGCCTATCGCTCGAGCGACAGGCTTATTCGACCATGCTCGTTTTCGTTTTTGACGTTCTTTTGGATTTCATGTAAATTTCGATGTTTATTTTCTTTTTGTTTATTTTATTATCGTCATTATCTTGCTATCCAAATTCATAACAATTGGTATAAGAGCAAATCTGGTATCTTATTTGTTTTATAACACCACGGTTACTTGTTGTAGTTGTGGAGTTAATAACTTAATTATAGCATTCGAAATACCCTCAACAATGTGTTACCACCGAGTTTACCGTACCTCCAGCCCCTTTGTTAGGCGATTATGCTAATGCTGTTTTCTTGCTCTGTACCATCTGGCCCCGGCATTGCTATTGGAATAACAACCAGTCGACCATAGGTTGATCCAACCCAGTCCTCTCGTACTAGGGTTAGGGTTGGGTCCTGGTGCAAATAGTGCTACGTGGTATTATTCTAATGTAAAACTGATTGCATGAATTTGCAGGTAGACTCTCAGGAAATGTTATCATGACTGGCAATGTTCTTCTAAATGGAAGGAAAAAGAGGCTCAACTATGGTGGTGTTGTAAGTGTTTATTTTCATATATTTCAAAAACCTCTTATCCCATTTTCATAAGGGTCGTTGCACTTTATTTTGTCATATTGGGATGACATACATTATTTTTCCATTTGTCAAATTAATTGAGTTGGACACGGTTACTTGATTTACACAGTACAAACTAATCTAAGAAAATGAAGTTTGAGTTAAGGATGTTTTAGGCAATTGACTACGCTTGGAGAAACTAAAGATCTTGGTAGATGAAATTTCATGCGAGTAGAATTTAATTCCAAGATCAATGATCACACTTTCTGTGCAAAATATTTAATAAGACTTACACTCCTCTCACAATGGAGTGTGGGGTCCACGATTTTTTAAATTATGGGCCACCCATTATTGTGAGAGGAGTGTAATGCATGACGTACACCGACATCAAGCATATCTCAATTTGGAATTCTGGCTACTGGGTACCGTGCCTACCAACATAAAAGAAAAGTTACAACCCATAAAAGGAGAGCTGCAAATAGTTGCATATATTCACACCTAGAAAAGAACATGAAAAAGGCAGCTAAAAGAGACGCATCATGGAACTACTTCCAAATATTGTATTTATGACATGATTGATACGTTAAATTCACGAGATCGTTGATATATTTTGTTACATAGTTGATGTTTTGGGCATGGATTCAACTCCATTTAACTTAAATGGTGGGTGCTTATTCAAAACCAAGGGCCCGGTTGAGTTTAAAAATATGTTAAAATCGCGCTAACATTTTCATTTTATTCTTTTCTTTTCTTTTATTTGTAAATAACCATCAGGCTTATGTAACTCAAGAAGATGTATTCTTGGGGACACTCACAGTTAGAGAGACCATCACATACTCAGCACAATTGAGGCTTCCAAGCAACATAACTAAAGATGAAGCAAATGAAATCATAGAAAACACAATAATTGAAATGGGACTTCAAGAATGTGCTGATCAGATTATAGGAAACTGGCATGTTCGAGGCATAAGTGGCGGGGAGAAGAAGAGGCTAAGCATAGCAGTCGAGATTCTTACACAACCCAGGATTCTGTTCCTGGACGAACCCACGAGTGGCCTTGACAGCGCCTCGTCCTTTTTTGTCGTTCAAGCTCTCAAGAACGTTGCATGTAGTGGTCGAACAATTGTGGCTTCCATTCACCAACCGAGTAGTGAAGTCTTTGCTCTCTTTGATGATCTTTTATTGCTATCCTGTGGAGAAAAAATTTACTTTGGAGAAGCAAAAATGGCAATAGAGGTTCGAATTTTAACGCACGCTATACATAAATCTTAACTTTCATTGATAAACTGTAATTTACTGATATAATCACAATTTTTTTTAGTTCTTTGCAGATTCAGGATATCCTTGTCCAAGCAGAAGAAATCCGTCGGATCATTTTCTTCGTTGCATAAATTCGGATTTTGATAATGTAAACAGCACTTTGATGGGATCTCAAAAAATTAGTCTGAGTAAATTATTCCCATTAGATTGAGATGTTGAAATTATATGACAAATAATAATGAAGTATACGATCAAGTAAAATAATAATAAAGACAAGGATATTACAAGGGAATTAAGAGATTTTATTGACTTAAGAATAATGGAGAATAGAAAAAATTACAATTGATTATATAATTCTAGTAATCTATTTTATCACACTTATAAAATTGTATTGAAGAGCCTAATATTTATGGAGAACATGTAGGAGACGTCCAAACCCTCTTGGTAGAGTTGTCGATGAAGTCGAATGTCAAAAAATCGAGATCAAAACGAAATAGGATGGTTGTATTGAATTACATTTTCTTATATATATATATATATATATATATATATATATATATATATATATATATAAAATTCTTTTTTTTAATTGTTTCTCAATCCCAAATTCTTCTTCACGTCTAATACTAATTTTCAATTCTCAATGAGCCCCCAAAATAGAATTTCAACTTGATATAAAACTCCAATAGTATTCTAAACTTGAATTTTTCATGACGTGCATTTTTATTAGAATTTTTCAATTCTTCAAATAAGAAATTCGGGTCACACCTAAATTCTAACAATATATAGTAATATTTATGATCTTTTGTTTCTTTTTGCAGGGTTTTAAGAATTTTTCTGGTCCTTCCATTAATTTAACAACAGAAGAAATTCGAGCAAGGCTTCTTCAGAAATACAAATGCTCAAACTATGCAGCTCGAGCTCGATCTAGAATTCAAGAAATCTCAACTTATACTGTGAGCTTCTTATCTATATCCCTTGTTGCATAGTATTGTTCATTTTCATTATCCTAAATTATATTCGTCTTTCCACGAGAAACAAGGAGCATGATCAAACATACATTCAGTATTTCTGGTATGCACGACGGGACAGGATTAAAATGTAAAAATGAGGTTAAAAATCTTGTTTATTATCTAGTGTACTACCGTGTACCAAACATTCGAGTGCTAAAGATTACTTGGTCCAACGTCGTCTAATACTGTGCGTCAGACGTACTTATATTCATGCACAAGGGTTCATTTTATTTTCTTGAAAATGTATAGATAAGGTTATAATCTGCAGGAAGGATTTGAAATTGAAAAGACTAGAGGGAGCCAAGCAACAAGGTGGAAGCAACTTTCAACATTGACAATGAGATCTTTCACAAACATGTCTAGAGATTTTGGATATTACTGGCTAAGAATCATAGTATACATTGTAGTATCAATCTGTGTTGGTTCGGTCTTTCATGATGTTGGAACTGATTATCACTCGATTCTAGCAAGAGGCGCATGCGGTGGATTCATATCAGGTTTTATGACATTTATGTCCATCGGAGGGTTCCCATCATTCATCGAAGAAATGAAGGTAAATCGTGTCAACTACAAAACAACAGAGATAAGTTTTGCTGTATAATTTAAGATTTTGAAGTGTGATTTATGTGTTATGAGCAGATTTTTTCCAAAGAAAGGCTCAACGGGCATTATGGCGTTGGGCTGTTTACTCTTTCGAACTTCATATCTTCATTTCCATTCTTGGTTATGATGTCGTTTAGTTCAGCATCTATCACTTATTTCATTGTGAAGTTTCATCCTGGCCTATCGCACTTTATGTTCGCCACCCTCGACCTTTTAATCTCCATAGCCGTGGTCGAGAGCTCCATGTTGGTTGTGGCTTCGGTTGTTCCTAATTTCTTGATGGGGGTCGTAATCGGGGCAGGTTTCATCGTAAGCATTTACACCCCCCCTCTGTAGAATTCTTTTCGACTCTAAGTACTCTAATCCTCATTACACATACGGCACACCAGACACATATACCCACGATGTTCATCTACGTGATCTGTTAATGCAGGGTATAATGATGGCTACATCCGGTTTTTTCCGACTCCCCAATGATCTTCCGAAGCCATTTTGGAGATATCCAATTTCATACATCAATTACATGGCCTGGGCTTTACAGGTACGCTTCATTCATATGTAGTGGTTCACACATTTCTTATAAGAAAATTGAACCATTAGTCGATGACCTTTCAACTTAGTCGCACAATGAATTCCCAACGCTAAAATCCATTTTGCTCACTTCAAATTTCCGGACATCTGGAAAACAAAATCTAGTTCCACGAAGTTGGACATACGAGGGCCATATGAGGATTTAACTAAGATGGTTCCTATTGTTTGGTCTCGTTGTGAAACTACGATAAAAGCTTGAAAACAAACTTGCTCAATTTTAAAGGTTAAGGACCATTTCTCCTTTGTTATTGGTTTAAAGAACTAACATCCAACGCATCCTCGCCTTAGAAAAGTGCATGTTTCTTAACCTAGTCAAAAACAAGATACTACAGAGAATAAGACAATGCTTAGTTCATTGTTTCTAGGTGTTCATAAACACCATGTTCAAAAAGCACATTTAGTCAAACTAATTTTTATCCACACATTTCGTAATACACTGTTTATAAATACCTTGCCAGACATACCCTAAATCTCTTCCATTCTTGTTCCACTGAAAACTATAGGGTGCATACAAAAACGACATGATCGGGATCGAGTTTGAACCAATGGAGGTAGGAGGACCAAAACTGAAAGGAGAATATATCCTCACTTCCATGATAGGCATGTCACTAAAACACTCCAAATGGTGGGACTTAGCTGTGGTTACAGCCATTCTTTTAGCCAACAGATTTCTATTCTTTGCCATTCTCAAGTTGAAGGAGAAAGCTGTGCCGAAACTACGAACAATTTATGCAAAGAGAACTCTACACCATCTAAATAAGAGGCCTTCTTTCAGAAAGACACCTCCTTTCCATTCAAAGAGGGAACACATTGTTCATTCTTTATCTTCTCAAGAGGGTCTCAACTCTCCTTTACATTGAAAGTATACATACATTTTCGGGTCATTTTTTTCTGTCTTCACGTAATTTTTTTACCCCTTTTGATGTCTTTATTAAGCTTTTGAATTGATATAATGTTTCAATGAGTGTCAACTTGTACCGATTTTCTTGGCAAGTGATACACATATATCCCTATTTTTTGAAATGTAATCTTTAAATGCAGGTTTTGAGGTAATTGTTCCCTCAATAATTTGCGCTAGTGTCTCGACCATCCCTAACTTACGATTGTCAAGCAGGTTGAGATAAACATCGGGTAATTGCAACGAGCAGGTCAACTAGGCTTGGCCAAGCCTGCCACAAAATTCGGGTTGGCTCAGGCCTATGCATGATCATCCTAGACCTTTAGCAAACCAAACCATGTTAGTCTGCCTTTTTCCATTATTTTTAACTTTCACACTTTCAAATTCATATTCGACTCTAAAAAGGAAATATTCATTTATGGAGGGAAAAATAGTTACAAAACATTGACAAATTTAGAGTCGTTAGTACAAGGAACATCGTGATTTAAAAGTTTCACACATGACTTTCTTGACCATCCGCTTCTCTACACAAATTTGTCGTCAGTATGTCGAGCCTTATAAATAGTAAAAAAATGTTTCTTATTTTTATAGTAAGCAAAGTTGATGGAATATTAGAAGGGATTATATTATATATAGTTTCCATTTCTAAAGCGTATTTTAGGAAACATTATTAGGATTTGATTTAATTGTTTTTATTAGATATTTCTTACTTAGAATGAAATATTTGAAACCCTATTTAAAGGGCTTTTGCGTAGTAATACGATGAACTTTTGATAACGAAATGAATTAACATTCCCCCTCAATTTCTCTCTTTTCCCCTCCTTTCTCTTCTTCTCTCTTTTCCCCCTCCTCTCTCTTCTTCTCTCCCCTTTGCCTTTCTCATAGAATTCTTCGTATTGCATCCTAAGTCAGAAGTCCTCTCGAAATAACTTTTTTCCTCATTCAACTAATAAAATACTCAAACGCCCTTACTAATTTAATAACACTGTAAAGAAACTATATTAAAAACAGTAAATGAATATCTATAAACTAAAATCTATTTGTATTATAATCTATGGATATATAAGAACTGTATTATTGTATACCTCAATTGTTTGAGCCAAATTATTGTAGAATGAGAATGAAAAATATAGTCGTTATTGAGGCTCACATAAGAAATAGAAAATTTGAATTTAAATGTTGATGTGATATATAACGGTCATATTTTTCATTTTAATGAGATAATAATGTAGATCAAACGAGGGCTATAATTTAATATTAAAATTTACTAATAAAACTTTTTCATTAATTTAGCAAACTAAGAATTGAAATAGTTAATAACAAAAAATTCCCAAATAAATCTATGTCAGTAGTCAATTACTTTTAATTGAAATTATATAAAACATTAAGTAATAATAACACAATAAAAATATCATCTAACTAATAAAAAACTCAATGGTTGGACGAAGAATTGAAAGAAAGAAGTAAAAAATGGTGAAAATGGCAAAATCCAAAGTTTGAAGATCAAATTACAAATTCAATAGTTGATTTGGACCACAAGATGATACTTTAAAGATTGCTAAAAGACAATTTGATTGAATTAGAATTCAAAGAGGAATGAAATATGATTAAAATTAATTTCCAATCACCCAAGTTATATTCCAGATTTTTAGTCGAGAATTGATACCATTTTTGGCATAGTAAACGTCAGAATTAGGAAAACTTTATTTTAGGAAAAGTTGTAGCCCTTTAAGTTATCTTTCCAACGCACTTTGAATTTCATCAATCGGATATCGAGAGAGAAAATTATGATCAAAATACTGAATGCTGTGCAGAGACAAAAAATCTGTACGCAAAGGCAACTTTCCTTATTCGATTGAAATTCTTGTAGAAGTCAATTTGGACGTGATTTTCCATCAATTTCCGACTCCTATAAATACATAACAGTAGAATACATATTAAAGAACTCTCATGTACATATTATACTCCATTGTTCATCAATTATTATTACCATATGAGTGAAATTCATAGTTTTTGTGAGAGGAATTGAAAAAGATTTGTAAAAATTTAATCAAGTGAAATTCAAACCTAATTTTTAGGCAAATAAGAGAAGCCACAAGTGGAGATTCATCAAAAAACCATTGAAGAGATTTAAGATTTCAAGATTCGTCTTCATCTTCTCAATTTATCAAAAATCCGGGTTATGTCTTTTCACTTAAATATAATTTTTTGTAATTGTAATATGTTAGGCTAATTTTATATATTGTTAGGATGAGATGAACTTTTGTTATGATATTTTTAGTTTCTAATTAATTATCTTGACTTTAATTTGATTTGATTTGTGGATGTTTATTATCGTTTTTATCGTTCTTTTTAATTGTTTGATCACCAATTGAATTGTTAGTGAATTTTATTGTTATCGAGAAAGACAATAGAGTTTAAGAACAATATAATAAACATTGTAATGTTCGATAGATGATAGAGATATACCTCTAAGCTTTATATGATTTCAATATGTATTTTAGTACTTGTTAACGCATTTATCATATTTGCATCTTTCATTGAGAGATAGAAATGTCACATGAGGGGAATATAATTGATCGCTATCGAGAGATGCTTTCANCTAATTTACACAAGCCGAAACTTCTAAGATTTCGAAAATATTTGATGTATAGAAAATAAGCAATTGAAAAATCCTTCCCAAGAGTACTGCCCGTGGGAGATTTTGTACCTGATGATTGGGATAATGATATCAAACTTGTGGGAGATGGTCCTCCCCTATTGAACGAGAATGTACTTGCAAAGTACTTTAAAGAACTTGTCAAATTGGAAGAAAACGATATGCTTATGGGAGACTGCATGTATTGGGAAGAATTTCAACAATGGGGTACAATCCATTCGAAAGAGTCAACGGGATTGACTTTTCATTGTCTGTGGATTTAGATTGTGGACTGATCATTCAACCCAAAGATATATCGACTATGGAAGAGGGGATTAAAGAGAATGACGAGTTGATCACAACAGAATCAATTGAGGATGTGGCAATCAATGAGAATGAAATCAATTCACATTTTTTCGATTTTATTGATTGTCCAAAAATTGATTTTGTGATTAAGCCCGATGTAGGTATGGAAGTCTACATAGTTGAAATTGAATCGGATGAAATAGAAAAGTCTTATTACATCGAAAAAAACAAGGTAGAAGTTTGGAAACTAAATGAAAGGTGGATAAAAGTCAAACGAAGAAAAATGGACAAGGCATCCAAAACCTTCTTTAGGTGTCCTTGATTCAATTGCCAAAGTCGAGCTAAAGACTAAAAAAAGCGCTTGTTGGGAGACAACCCAATTTTTTAACATTTTAGTTATTCTGCTTTCTGGATCGCATTGCATATAGATTTATTTTGATTATTAGTTTGCATTAGACTAAGACACGTTTCAATTTATAGGGTATCACCATCCTATTATATTTCCCCTTATGCCATTGAATTTATTATTGGGTTTTTCAATTATTTGGGCTAAGTAACACATGTTCTATGTTATTTGATCTTAATTGTTTGATTTGACAGCTATGTGCTGGAACATGACATCACAGAATACTCAAACCAACATAGACCAAGGGAAAAACATGATGAAGAAGATTGTCTAGCCGTCACACATAATGCCTCGCACCTTCAACAGAAAAATTTGGGGAGTATCTTCTTCCTTTTCTTCCCCATCCCCCATATTTTTATTTATGCTTCATGACATTAAGGATAATGTCGATCGCTTTCATGTATTTTTGAGTGTTTGTTCTTCGTTATTACTTTAATATATAATAATAAAAATTGAAAAATTTCAACAAATTTTTTTTTTCTTGTTTTATGCTATGTGCTTGTGTGAGTTAGATAATCTGGACGACATTGATGATTAAATTTGAGATTTAGTGTTGATTTATGAACTGTGGATATTATGCATGCTAGACTGATTGAGACTTAACCTTACAAAACTTGATATTAAACATGCACTAGAATTAAGTTGGACAGTGTAATACCCAGGAAAGCTTAAAAAGATTTGATAGGTACTACTCATACCAACAAGGTGCACCTTCTTTTATGGAAGTCCATCGTTAGAAACTCTACAGTTAAGTGTGCTTGGCTTGGAGCAATTCTGTGATGGGTAACCCCCTATGAAATTTTCTTGGGAGCATGCGAGTGAGGATAAAGCATGCTGAAAAGATCCATGTTGGTACAGTGAGGACAGTACATCGTCAATCTAACAGTCGGGACAGCCCGTTAAGTGGGACCTGAGTTGTTACAAATTGTACCAGAGCTCGATATTTGATAAGTTTAAGTTTGAGGGTATTTGATAATTGTATTTTATACACTTATTCGTAGTCTAAAATAACAATATTTGATTTTTTTTGACAAAATATATCCTAAATTATTGTATTTTATATTATATAGGTAAAACTCATTGGATGAACGAAGAATCGAAATAAAGAAGCGAAAATTGGTAAAAATAGGCAAAATCCAAAATTTGAAGACCAAATTATAATTATTCTAGGAATGGAAAGAAAGAAGTGAAAAATGGTGAAAAATGACAAAACCCAAAGTTTGAGGATCAAATTGCAAATTCAATAATTGATTTGGACCATAGATGATACTTTGAAAATTGCTAAGAGACAATTGGATTGAATTAGAATTCAAAAGGGAATGGAATATGATTAAAATCAATTTCCAATCGCACAAGTTATATTTCAGATTTTTAGTCGAGGATTGAGACCCATATTTGGCATTGTAAACGTCCGAACGTCCGAATTAGGAAAACTCTATTTCAGGAAAAGTTGTAGCCATTTGAGTTATCTTTCCAACGCACTTTGAATTGAATCAATCGGATATCGGGAGAGAAAGTTATAGTCAAAATACTGAATGCTGTGCAGAGACAAAAAATCTGCGCTCAAAGACAACCTTTCTTATTCGATTGGAACTCTTTTGTAAGTCGATTTGGACGTGATTTTTCATCAATTTTCGACTCCTACAAATGCATAACAGCAGAATACATATTAAAGAACTCTCATGTACATATTATACTCCATTGTTCATCAATTATTATTATCAAATGAGTGAAATTCATAGTTTTTGTGAGAGAATTGAAGAAGATTTGTAAGAATTCAATCAAGTGAAGATTCAAACCTAATTTTTGGGCAAAAAAGAGAAGTCGCAAGTGGAGATTCATCAAGAAACTATTGAAGAGATTCAAGATTTCAAGATTCGTCTTCATCTTCTCAATTTATCAAAAATTCGGGTTTTGTCCTTTCACTTAAATATGATTTCTTGTAATTGCAATATGTTAGGCTAATTTTATATATTGTTAGGATGAGATGAACCGTTGTTATGATATTTTTAGTTTCTAATTAATTATTTTGATTTTAATTTGATTTGGTTTGTGATGTTTATTATCCTTTTTATCGTTCTTTTCAATTGTTTGATCACCAATTGAATTGTTAGTGGATTTTATTGTTATCAAGAGAGACAATATGATTTAAATACAATATAATAAATATTGCAAGGTTCGATAGAGGATAGAGATATAACTCTATACTTTATATGGTTTCAATAGGTGTTTTAGTGCTTGTTAATGCATTTATCATATTTGCATATTTCATCGAGAGACAGAAATGTCACATGAGGGAAATAAAATCGATATCGAGAGAGATTTTCAATTTAATTAGGAACAATAACCAACATAAATGATTTCAAATTATCAATTTAATTGTTACACTAAAAATGAATAATAAGGGGAATTCGACATATTAGCAATATTTTCACATATTTGAATTCAAATCAGTTAAATTGTTTTCTAGTTTAATTGATAATTTATGGATTAGTATAAAAAAATCACTCAATCTATTTGTTATTCGATTAAGATTACTATTAATTTGAACTCGATTGAATACGTAGTTCTCGTGTGTTCGACACTTTACACACTACTATATTACTTGTTCACGGTCTCGTTCACTTGCGGAAAATCAAACTATCATTAGTGTTCGTTAGTGTATTAAATAATTTTTAAATATTAATAATTTAATATAAAAACTAATTTTTCAATTATTTTAGTATGTTGATAATTTATTTAGTAATTTTTCATCCTTTTCATATATAATTTCAGTAAAATTTGACTTGAAAATATTTATCTGCACCTACATCTTAAACACATTATAATATCTCCTTTAGTCAAGGAACTTTATCTGTACTTATAAGTACTTTTTTGCCAAACATCAAACAACTTATAATTACAATTTATTCAAACAAATACTAGAACTTGCAAGTAAAATGAGTTACTTTTAAGTGAAATTTTAAGCTTAGCCTAGAGAACCCATTATTTTTAAAAATTCAAAAACAAAAACAATGAAAATATATAAAAAGGAATTGAACAATGTAACACGACCCCAATTCTTAGATCTTGTTCAACATATTTTCCAAGAGAACAATCGCTTGACCTCTAGTTACATTTCGAGTTGTCTACTTCAAATTCTTTTACCAAAATTATGCTCGATCCCAATATTTCTATTGGATTTGGGTCAAGTTACTTAGCTCAACTTATAAATGTAAGAAAATCAACTCGATCACTCATACGGTCATACCTATTTCTAGCTAAGGTTGAGCTACATTCTTCATTATATTTTCTAAATGAACCCCTAAATCCATAGTACCTCTATCCAAATGGGGTCAAGTTGCCTTGTTTAGCATATCTTCAAGGTGAACAAGCACACTCAACACTCAGTACCTCTACCTGACTTAAGTAGTATAGTTGCTTTGATAAGCATATTTTCAAAGTGAACAAGCCAATTCAATCACCAATGTTTTAATACCGGTCCAAGCAATGACTAGGAAAATAAATGGACTCAAAACTTTCCCCCACTTTTCAACCATATTCTCGAAAAAAAATAAAAAAAAATCATTTTTCACTTATAAAAATCAGTACCAAACAAGCTTTAACAAAATTTAAGGTGCACTCACCAGTTCACAGATTGTTTAAGCAGTTTTCAATTATCAATTTTCCATCTTTTCACCTAAAAGGCTAAAACTGCACGGATCTTACCATTGGCTTACCAAGTCCGGTCCAGTTTTGACAACATTGTTGATCACGTGAAACTCCACCTCAATCAAGTTCCCTTTGTATATTTTCCAAGTGGATGACAATTCGAAGCCTAATATTGTAACCTGACAATTTTTTAAGTGAACAAACCCTATCAACTATCAATACTTGACTTGACTAGAGTAAATTGCTTTATTACACCATATTTTCCAGGAGAACAAGCCACTAGACCCTATTACTAATATTCGACTAGGTCAGAGTGTACCGTTCTTGTTCAACATATAACAACTCCACTAACCTCATTACCTAAAATTGACTAAGTTCAAGCCACTCAAACCTAATATTAGCAACTTGAACATAGTCTACTGGTCATCTTCAACTTTATTACCACTTCAGCCATAAACTGAGGAGCCAAAATAGCATTCATGAACAAAGAATAAACCCTTTCAATATTGACAGTGGGTTAAAAAAGAGTATTCGTGCAGCCTGATGCCAAGTTAATGAAGAAAATGCATTATGTGTTTTTGCCTTTTCTTTATTTAGTTTATGGGTGCAAAGTCGCCCTCATCCTGCTTTTGCTTTCTTTCTATGTGAAGAAAACATGTCAAGTAATTGATGATACGGAAGTGAAAATATGAGACAGAAAAAAGAGAATTTTCTGCACAATTGGCATCTTTTAGTAAATTGGATGCAGTTAATATTACATGATATGGCACGTAGAATGAAAACATCACTCTCACTTCTACAAGAAATTTTGTTAAAGCCTCTTCCATAGAAAAACACAGAGGGTTGTACTTTCACCCTACATCTCAAACTATTGACCTTTTAAGGATTTTTTTTTCCCAAATATATCAGTTGGGTGTTACGCAATATGATGTGATTTTGTTTCCAATTTACATATGGATTTTTAACGTGTACCAAAACATCATTTGTGTGTCCAACATTACCATCAATATGAAATCGTTGTTTTATAACTAACTTTGCAGATGAGTTGTCAATACAACCTTAGTTCCTGTTAAATTACCAACAACTTCAATCTTAAGTTAATATACTATTGACTCTATAGTCAGTCAGCAATCTCCATTTTTCTTCTTATGTGAGGTAGACCAGAAAGTATTACTTTAAAGTTTAAACCTTCCAGTATCCCATCACATCCAGACCTCTAACATTTATCACTATTCCCTTCATTCTACATAGAATGCAAAATTTAATTGAGCTTTTATAGCATTATCATTCTAATTTAGTCTACTTCCTTACAAAGGAAAGGTAAGGAATTAATATTTGAAAATTCAAAGTATACCAATATTTATTCAAGAAAAAATTTGTTGTACTTAAAAATTGTGGAAAAAGTGATAATTCCTCCATCCCAAATTGAAATTGAATGTTTCAGTTTAACTTGGATGTCTGGCTGAGAAGAAATTGAAAAGCTGCAAAACTTGTGTGTCCCCATAGATGTGATGCAAAAACATTCAATTGGATAGAGTACACTGCTAACGAAAAGATATAACAATTTTACATCGAAAACGGAAAGATTGGTACTAGCACAAGACAAAACATGAAACATAGAGATACTATTGACATTAACTCCTGGTTTAAACTGTACACCAGGGACATGTTGGATACATAGTATTGGATAATAGATTGGACAGTACAATGGACTACTTTTTCTTCTTTATGCTGTCCAGAGTCTAGGATCAGCCCACCTTACAAACATGCTATAGGTGTCTTATATTGCCCTTGCATTTGGAGAAAGATTCAGTCACTCCATATGCTAACAATCTATAATCAGGCAAAGACAAAACAGATAGTAGACACAGCCAAGTAGCTTTCTATAGGTGGAACATAACCAACCTGAGTGTATTCCTCAAGCTTGATCACCCATTTCAGCAGTAGTATTCCCTTTTACCACTTTGTACATGGGGCTCATTCTGGTGATATTCCATGGACTACCTGTCATCAGAGAGTAGGTCTGCATTATAAAAAATCCACCTACCCTCTTCTTCTCTAAAC